AGAAAGAAAGAAAGAAAGAAAGAAAGAAAGAAAGAAAGAAAGAAAGAAAGAAAGAAAGAAAGAAAGAAAGAAAGAAAGAAAGAAAGAAAGAAAGAGGGAAAAAAAATCCTAATTTCTTTCCCTGATGGACTAAAGAGTCTTTCCTTGGAGTCAAATTCTGTATTTAGGAAAAGTATTTGCACATTTCACACAAAAATACCTTGTACATGAAGTGCAAGTTGAGATGGGGCCAGATTTTCCAGTCTACCAAACAATGAGGAGCTAGTCACAGTAAGCAAAGTGAAAATATGTGGAAAAGATCATTATATAGATAAGTGGCAGAAGCTGCCCAGTTGAGTTCTAAACTAAGAAGGAAGGAGAACAGATTAATATGATGTTATGAATGTGCTGATTGCAGCTGCCTCTGACTTGTTTCACAAAACTATAAATTAGTTAAGCGGCAGTTTTCCTCTTACTAGGGGAGCACAAGAACAAGTGTCAGACTTTCCACAAGATACACACTGAAGAAAATTAGTTGGTTTTYATTCTGTCTGCACAAACCCAAACTATCTCTTTCTCTACAACTAACACGAAAGTACCATGAAAAAATTAGAATTTTAAATCCACAAAATCAATTAATAATTCCTTACAGCTGGTCCGGGAGGTCCTGGGGGTCCAACACTGTCTTGAGTACAGGTACAAGCATTTGGAAGAGCTGGACATTTTGCTTCATCCCTCTGCAAATTCAATCACAGCTATTACTGTCCTTTTAAAGAAAAGTATTTGGTGACAGCCTGCTTTTTTTTTTTAACAAAAATAACAGAAAGATTCTCTATTATCCCAATTATTTTCAAGTACAGTAGAACTCATAGCTAAAGACTATTTTTAAAATATTYTATGCATGATTTTTCATATTTTCAGAAAATTAGTTTCTCTGCCACAGGCAAACTCGAAATCATACGTATCATGTGTTCAGAACACATTAGAAAATTAGCTTGCATTGCCAAAGAGAAAATTACTTTTTGAAGGCCAGTCTCACAACACACAAAATTTTAAAAAAAGTTAATCCATTCATAATTTCTATGATATCAAATATAACTGAAATAAAAAATATAGCTGCTTTTTTTTCCTAGCACTCCTAAGGGACTCATTCTAGCATATGCAAAACAGGCACAAAACTAATAAATATTAAAACTAAACTAATTGCTAATTATTAAACTAATAATTAAACTATTAAAACAAATAAATATAAAAACTAATAAATAAAATATATAGTATTGTTCACCTGCTTCTCTGACAAGTTTGATTCAAATGTGTTGTCTACATTAGCTATAATGCCAGACTAATATTGGAGTTGTACAATCTATTACTAATATGATTTTTGAACAGTCTCTAGTTCATTTACACTTACCATAGAAGGAAGGTCACAGCATCTGTCTCTGCTAGTCCAAACTGGACTGCACACAATGTCAAAACTCTGGATTTCAAACTGTAAAAGAAAGGCAGATAGCTTCATATCTGGATCAGCTAATGGTACTAGAGACGCTATTTATAAAACCTGGTGGCATTACCAATAAAAATGACTCCTAAGACAATTCCTTTCTAATATGGTTAACATCATTCACATTTTTACTTCCTGTGGGGAACAATAATAACATAAAACATATTTTTAAATAATTTAAACATGAGTTTTTTTTAAAAAAAGGCTTGCTTAAGGCTAGAAGCAACCTCAACATGATAATTTAAACATGAGTTTTTTTTAAAAAAAGGCTTGCTTAAGGCTAGAAGCAACCTCAACCACTGACGCTTGCTCGTATTCTGGGGTAAAAGGTAACGATATAAAGTGACCCAATAACTATTTCACAATACTTAATGAACAACACAGATGAACCTCTACATCTGCAGAATGCCTGCACTCTTCAAACATGAAATCTGGCTGGAGAACATCTGGACCAGCTCTAAGGACTGCAGTCCGTGGGTCATATATTAACCTAGATTCATGTATGAAACTTTCCACTGACATCAGATGGGAATAGTTTTGCAGAAAAGCTGAAGTGGGGACATTAGGGGGACTGTATAGTAAAAACAGTTTTCTCTCTTTTTTATTTTTTTCCATTCTCAGAGCCACAAAGTTTGATGCATACAAGCAAACACACGTGTTCAATCAGAAACTTTTCCACGTGCTATAGTTTGCACACATGGATCAGAGTTCAGACTTAGGTCTTCTAATATGAAGCCTGAGTAACAGCACTGATTACRCATTAAATATAGTGAATCCATCAAGATAATTATGTGCTTGTCATAGCAGCAGTCATTTTTTCATCATAAATTCAGAAATCATAAAGCCAGAAGGGATCACTGTGATCACTTAGTCACAGAAAGACTATTGGACTTGCCAAAAATAAAATCTGTACATTAAAAAATAGATAGGAAAACAAGACAATCTTCATTTAAAGACTTCCAATGATGAAGAATATACAGAAAATAGTTTGAATGAACAACTGCTCTCTCTATTAAAAGAAAAACATTTCCCCTCTTGTCTGAATATCCCTGTCTGCAGTTTTCAGCCATTTGGCTTTTGTTCTTGTAGTTCTGTAATTTTGTTCTTGTAATACTGTCAAGAGAATGACCAAACTTCTCACTTGAGCTAGTTTAACAATACAGAAACTTAGAAGGTTCAAGTATCATACTGGTTTCTCAGCAATTCCTGATCTCTAATCACTTCTTTTTTTTTCAGAAAATGTCGAGTTTGTATTAATAAATGTATTAACGCTTATTGCTTACTGTTGCTGATCTCCGGTCACCTTTCAGAAGTTTCCCAAGTATTTCGTAGCCATCAGTTGTGATGTTTCCAGCCTCTTTAATTGGTTTCTCCAATATTTCATTGCAGTCAATGTAAATCTTAACATTTGATGAAGTTACAACAATATGGACCTGAAAAAAGGGTTTAATGAAACACATAGAAAGTTACCCAAGAGAACATAGATATATATCACTTTTAACAGTATTTCCCACTTTCCATAATATGATTTTTAGTTTSGTTTCTAGAAATTTTGCTTTACTTTAAATTGGGAAGTTGTAAGTTTAGGAAAACCTACCACATTAGTAACTTCTTTAAAATTCCTTGAAGGTCTATGAAAATAAATAAATAAGCATAGCTGATAAGTAATATTAACTATAAAATTTTAATGCAACAATGAACTACTTAAAAAAAARGCTTGTCTGAAAATTGCTTTATGATGGAATAAAAGTCAAAAATAAAAGGAATTTGTGAGAGGAAATGAATATAAGCCTTTCTTGTCTTCTTCTAATGGCTGGGACCACACAAGAGGTTTATGAGTCTGTGACTGCCCACTTGCTAATAGACTCTGTCTGTAGTTCAGAGCACAGATTGTTTCACATCCAAGGATCCAGGGTTCAATTTCCATAGATGACTCAACCAGAGGCATTAGTTATATACAGATGAAAGAAGGGAGCAGAGAAGCCTGCCCAGAAAAAAATAGACAAAATAACAAGAGATGCAAGAAAGAAATTTCCAAGAAAGAAATTTGGTCACAAAAACATATGCCAAAGTAAGAGGAAACACAGAAGAAGCGGAAGAGATTAATTATTATAAACAGAGGAAACTAAGGACAGAGAAAATAATGTTTGTAGCAAAGGGGAGAGTAAGTTGACAAGAAAAAGAGAACAAAATGTTTTAGGAAAACAGTAAACTTTACACAGAAGAATAAAAGAAACTGAGACATGGGTCACCCTTCTAAAATCTCATAGGAAATACAGTGATTTATTCTGCTGTGACTGTACAGGCTTAAATAACAGAGCATGTATGAATAAAACAAAAGGAGAGTCTATTACTCATTCAAAGTGGGCAAAAGATTTGAGGAGGTTGCTGCCATTATGCTAATGAAAGTTATGCAAGTGAATTTCCTACATATCCATGAAAACAGAAGACTTTCAAGACTCCCCAAGCAAAAAAGAAAAGAAAAGGAAAAAAATAACCTGACCTTTATCTGATGTTTTAATGAATCTAATAGCTGATGGAAGAACCTCTTGAGGGAACAGAAAAGTTTCCATGGTTTTATATACCTTATATACTTTATGTATCTTCTATAGAACACATAAAATCTATATAATTTTAAAAATATCAGATCATCAGTAAACTATCCTTGAAGCATGTGTTTATGTTCAAAGGCTGCTGTTATCAGAGCACATAAACCTACAGAACCAAATTGCTATTTGATGACTACTTTTAAAAATTGGCATAAAGTTGAAAGAACAGAAATTCCCTTAAATGTCCTGAGTCAACAATCATTGAACTATCTCTCAAGAATTTCCACAGTAAATATTTTTTCCATGTGGAGCTGTCTCCAAGGCATCAGAAKAGCTTATCTCAAGCTCTCTAAGCATTACACAAATACACTTTATAGGATTTGAATTAAGAATTCTGAAACTACCCTTTTGCTTTCTTAAATTCATTTGCCATCAGTTTAATCCTAGGTGCTCTCTATAAGGGTGTTCTTATTTTTCTAATTAAGATTTAAAACTTTGTTCAAGGTTAACCAACAATTTGTGCTAGGTCAACCAACAATTGAAAAAATAACTGAGTGCATCTGCATTATATTTTGGGATTACAAATCAAACTTCCCTTAAAATGAAGTAATAAGCATCATAGTAAATTGATTGTCATTTATGCATCATATACTCAGTCATCTGATTATGTAACTACTTAACATGCAAATCTTTCTATTGGAATGTTAACAGCTTGCAACAAATTAAACTAATTATTTTTGCATGTGTGCACATTATTCCATTTCCACTGTCACACATTGGGTCTAATTCAGAACGAGGACACCAATTTGAAAAAGCTCATCCAGCAGGGACTCAGCATCCTATATCTATCCAGGGGGAAAAAAAAAAGACTCAATAGAGTCAAAAACAAGCAGTGCTCCCCCAAGTCACTGACAATCTCTTTTAAGCTCACAGCTCATTTAATAATAGCTCTGAATTCCAGCCTGAATTTCATGGGCCAGACATAACTCTGATTCAAATGTGTAACTAATATTAATAGTAAATAAAACATCTGTGCATTTTGTTCTCAACAAAACAACTTTAACAAACATTGTCTCCAATTTCTAATGCACTAGTGTAAAGCATCATTTCTGACTATTTCTGATGTCAGACGTCACTTTGCTTTTATGAAATAAAATATATTTGAGTCTCTCCCTGGACTCTCTAAGACTAAGTTTGACAGACTCCTAGTCTACTGCTAAATGAATCACATCAATAAGCTAAGCAAACTATTATCCCATATGTACATCAACAGAGAGACATATGTTCATTATCAAATTTCTAGGGGCTAACTACCACAAAACTGCAATCTAAAAGGAAGTCTAGTGTGGTAAGCAATAAGAAAGTAGAAGTTGTCTGTSTCCTCAAAACATTCAGTTATAAATTTAATGGCTGTCTCAGGAATTCAGTATTTTTCCTACTGGTATTGCCAGATTCAACAACTTTTACCATAGCTATGCTACGCAAAGCATTCAAGTATGCCAAAGTAAATGTTCTTGCACAGTTAAGGTGCAGTCAAATGTGCTTCACTGAATGAACCAGTAAGTCATCGAACAAAAACCACAAAAATGTTTGACATTTTGGAAAACATCTTCTTGCATTTAAAAAATTTGTCATTTCTTTGAAATTGCATGGTAGCAGAAATTGCACAAGTACCTTTTGAAATGTGGTAATCTTATTTTATCCTCTCTTTTTCAGCTAAAATTACTATTAACCTTTACTGGGAGCTAATCAACATGGCTGATACATAAGGCTTTCCCAGCACATGAGCTAGGGAGTCCCATGATGTTATCATTAGCAACATGACTCATACAGCAATCTCAGTAGTCACTCTGGAGAGGGTCCAGGRGAATCTGCTCTCAGCTACATGGTGTAAGATCCTAAAAACATCCATTTAAGCCAGGGCTACCCCAGTAACTTTTAATAATATCAGAATGTGAACTTTAGATTCTTTTCTGAGGAGGGAATTAGCTCACTGTAGTAAGGAGCACATGCGTGGTTCAGTTTTGATTAAGAAATACTCTCATAACCCAGAATTCACAATTCCTGAGCTTTAGTGTGTTTTGCTAATCACTGCTACTCTATACTATTTATCTTTGCATTATTTTCCAGTTTTAAGTATATTTAAAAATGAAAATAATATATATTTCTGGGCAATTATTTTCCCTTTAATTTCATGCTTTTCATCAACAAGCATAGAAAGCACTTAATTGTAATTACAAGTGTTGCTGGGATTGAGGGTTGTTGTCTGTTTGATCTGATTAATAAGATCTTTATTTTAAACATCATCAGAGAATAATGTGGGCTAATGTAGGTGTAATCAAAGCCCACTCATAAATACCAGCACAGAGTTAATAAGTGTTTTTTCATGTATAGAAAGAACAGCCATGAAATAAAATTTAAACATAAAAATAATTGGACATGACCTAGGAGTACTTTGGGGAATTACCCCATTTTTAACAGATTCTGAAAATACTATCTTCTATAATACTGAGTGATTTTTGTAGTCATTAGTGTTTTAAAGAGATTAAGTCACAGCACATTAGAAGGCAAGCAGCACCTTCCACTGCCTTCAGCTATGGCAGAGCTCGGTGCACAATGTGCTCTCCAGAGTCAGCAAGTTGGCAGAAGCAACCTCTTACTGGTATCCTTAAAGGAAAAGATATGCAGGAGAGCATATCATAAAGAAAACAAATGGTACAGTGCAGCCATATTTAGTCATCAGAATAAAACTAAGCTAAACAGAAGGGAGATAAGGGAAAACACGAGCATATGCATTTCAACTGACTGAAAATGTTGTGATGGCAACTCACCTTCGCTCTTCCCCTAAACATCAATGCTTAATGCAGCTGGAAAATATTTTCAAAGTACATTTGGTCTGAATCAAGCACCTCTCAATGGCTTCCCTTTAGGGAAGCAAAGCTGGCAGGAACAATTTTTCATAATTCAATGCATAAAATTATAAAAGCAAGCACAAACCTATCATTATTTCATGTAAATGCAGTAATATGTAAAGATTTCACTAGTCCATCTACATTTTGACAGTTTAAAAATCTAGTAATGCTTTACTTAAAAAAACACTCTAACAAAAACATCTTCCTCAGTTCACGTAGAGCACGGACACCATTCCTAATAAGCAAGAATGATGGCATTTGCATGTCCATCATTTTGCATATTTAGTACATAAAACAGTGATGCTATATAATCATTTCACCTGCTGCTTTGAGAGGTTTTACATGTGCTAGTGCTATCAAATAGGAAGGATAAGGTACAAAGCAGTGTACACTCTAGCAGAAAAACAGCTTAAGTAAGTTGCAGATGGGAGAATAGAAAACAGATTCTTTCCATTTTATTGATCCATTCCAGCAGTGAAAACGATTTTTTTTGTCAACTATTCGAGCCTAAGTCCTGTAAAGAGCACATATCCACCAAATACCACCTAATCTGTGAAACCAAACTTTTAGATCTCTTCACTAATGGCACAGTTATGAACTGCTACATTTTAAAAAGGTAGTGATAAAGATAGATATCCTGATGCCTGATGCAAGCTGGAAGACTAATCTAACTCAAGATATCATAGAATTACAGGATGGTCAAGGCTGGAAGGCACTTCCGCAGATCATAGAGTCCAACCTCCTTGCTCAAGCATGGTCACCTAAAACACATTGCACAGGACTCTGTCCAGAAAACTTTTGATTATCTCCAGGGATGAAGACTTCATAACCTCTCTGGGAAACCTGTGTCAGTGCTCTGTCACCCTCAAAATAAAGATTTTTTTTTATGTTCAGATGGACCTTTCTGCATTTCAGATAGCTTCCTGTGCTATCTCTGGACACCACAGAATCAGAGAACAGTTGAGTTTGGATGGGACCTCTAGAGATCATCTAATCCAACCCTCTGCATAAGCAGGGTCACCTGTAGTACGTTGCCCGGGATCATATCCAGGCGGGTTCTAAATATCTCCAGAGAAGGAGATTCCACAGCCTCTCTGGACTGGACTCCAGTGCTCTGTTATGCTCACAGTCAAGAAGTTCTTTCCTCAAATTCAGGCAGAGCCTCCTGTGTTTCAGTTTGTGTCTGTTCCCTCATGGTCATCACTGAAAAGAGTCTAGCCTCCATCTTCTTTACACCCTCCTTTCACATATTTATACACATTCATAAGATCCCTCCTTCAGTCTTCTCCAGACTGAAGAAGTCTCTCAGTCTTCCCACCTCTTTCACCTTTCCCACCTCTCAGTCTTCCCCTTTATAAGAGATGTTCCTGTCCCTTAATCAATTTAGTAGCCCCTCACTGGATGCACTCCACTAGCCCCATGTCTCTTTTGTACTGGAGACCTCAGAACTGGACACAGCACTCCAGGTGTGGCCTCATCAGCTAACGGGCAGAGGGTAGGATCATCTCCCTTGACCTGCAGACAATGTAATCGAGGATCTCATTCACCTTCTTGGCCACAAGGCACATTACTGGCTCATGGTCAACTTTTTGTCCACCAGGAGACCCAAAACTGTCTCTAAAAAGCTGCTTTCCAGCAGGTCAGCCCTCAGCCTGTACTCTACATTTTATTTTACTGTATTTCATGAGGCTCCTCTCAGCTGATCTCTCTAGACCATCCAGGCCCCTTTGAATGGTAGCACAGCTTTCAAGTATTAGCCACTTCTCCTGTTTTTGGATCATCTGCAAACTTGCTGAGGAAGAATTCTATCCCTACATCCAGGTCACTGAAGAATTTGAACAATACCAAACCCAGTATAGACCCTTGAGGGACACTGCTAACTACAAGCCTCCAACTGGACTCCACATCACTGATCTCAATCCTCTGAGCTCTGTCATTCAGCCAGTTTTGAATGCACCTCACTGTCCACTCATCTAGCACTTCTGAGCTTGCCTATGGGAGACAGTGTCAAAAGCCTTGCTGAACATCTRCTGTTCTCCCTTCATCTACCCAGAAATGTAATGCCAATAGATCATGCAATCCATTATGTGTTCTTCCTCATTGCTGACGCTTCGTCGGTCAACAGAATATTCTCTGCTAAATGTTTTGGAATATTTTATACCCAGTAATTCTAAAGTCAACAATATGCATGTATTATACATATATAATGCATTTTGTTTGTTAAACATATAAACATTCTTATGTATTTTCCAATCTTAATCTTCTTGCCTTCATCTACACTCTCATAACTGCTTACTCTCTGTGATCTTATCTTCCTCTTCTCTGAACAATTTCAGATCATTGCACTCCCCTCCAATCTTTTCTCACAATTTTCTTTTCCTCTTTTCAAGTTTATCAGTTATTCTTCCTCTTTCACATGTGAGGAATGAGACTACAAAATCTCATTCAGATACTGCTCTCCACTCACACAAACTTGACAAAAATCACCTCTTATGTATGTTGGGTTCAGACTAGACCTTTAACTCACTAAACAAAGAAAAGCTCCATCTTCAGAGATCTTGTTTTATGCAATATATAAGTCTGAATTTGGCTTCTGCTTGCTTCTCTTTTGTTTCAAAGAACAGCACTTCAAAAAATAACATCCACACTTCAAAAAATAGTATTCATAATTTCAATCCTTTACCTTGTGGAAGCTTCCATAAAAGATCTTCTTTATTTCATCATTATCAAAAGTTACAGTTTGAACCTCTCCCCTTGTATCCTTGTTAAAGAACGACAACACTTTGCTGGCAGCTACAACAAATAAAGATAGTACATTTCATTTCAGATGTACTAAAAAAACCTTAACATAAGATACACTCATGGATAAAATATCATGTAACCACTCAGTTGCGTAAACATGGATTATAGATGACTTTACAGGACCATAACTGCATAAATGTACATTCCTCTGGCTTTAGAGGTAATAGCAAAGTCAAAAAGTGGCTCAGTCAAATCTTTCTTGTTGAATAATTAATTGAAGTGCAAAGTAAAAAAAATCTTGTAAAATAGAAAACATATAATCCCTTTTCCAAATGTTTTGGGTTTGGAAAGATTTGGAAAGAATGCATGAAAAGTAACTTTTTAAAGTAAAAATTTTCTGTTCAATAAGCATAATCATCCTTACGATCAAGCACCACTCCAACTTGTGGTTTGTAGTCTCTGTCTGTAATCTGCCAAATTGCGAAAGGCTCATTGGGTGATTCTGGCAGAAGGCGGAATAACATAATGATAGTGTAAGCCTGTGGCAGTCCCTCTGGGTGAATCTCCCTGCAAAGAGAACATGAGGACATTTTTTTTTCTTTTACATCAAAAGCACAAGGAAAAAAAATAAATGAGATCATCATTTGCTCTTTCTCAAAGAGATAAGAGTAATGGAGGATCACAGTATTTAATAGAACTGACCATTTTAACTACCCCAACATAGGGAAAAGAATTATGTTTTAAAAATCAGGTTGTGATTTCTTAAGAGGAACCCAAGGCTTATCCTTGCATTCATGATTATAAGTATGGTTATGGAAACAGACATTGTGACCAAGAGGTATACCACTAGATTTCTCTTACTCAAACTACTTCTGTTTTTTTTTTCTTTAAAAAAATTGAAAAGAAAGACTGCATATTAACCTCCATAACCACACTTAAGGATTATAGGTCCTTGCAACCTTACTCCATTTGCCAAATACAGTAATTCAGTTAGGGGATAAACCATCCCACAATGATGACATCAGTGTGCTTCCTACTGAATTATGATGCCTCTGCAAAAAGTGGAATTTATCCCTCCAAATTGAAACCATTTCCCTCTGGCAATGCGGAGTTCTTTGTATTAAAGAGGCTGTTGTCCAATGACTTCAGGCCAAACTGCTCATTATACTCATTATATAACACTTGAATGACTATGAATGGTTAAGAAGCATAGTCTTAAAAAAAAGTAAAAAAAGAACAGATCATGAAGGAAGAAAAGGAATTTAATGAGAAAAATAACATAATATTTGGAGTATTTTCCTTGGAAAATACCAAATAACTGCATCTTTTGTAAAATACTAATGCTGTTAGCTATAAACTCTGTTAATCCTTCTCCAACTACTTACCCTAAGTACAAGTCTTCCAGAAAAACAGTTTAACAGATCACTTACCGTACTGGCTGGCTGACAAAAGCATTTTTATGGAGCCTGTACGCTACATAGCTTGGGAAAGAGCCTGATTCCAGTGATACACCTTGTACAGAAGCAAAATKCTTCTCTGTTAGGTTATATGAATCCAGCATCTTGAAGCCTTTAGGAAAAGGAGAGGAAAGAAAAAAGAAATAACTGCAGTGTTACCATGAGATATGGTACAAATGAGCCTATGCCAAAATATTAGAGACAGCTCCTTACCAGGTGAAGTATATCCCTCCAGGTAAATAAGAGGACAAGCTAAAAGAAATAAAACAACATGTAAATTCCAACTGAAAAAAATCTAACTGGCAAGACTTCAAAAGGGCTTCTTATTAGAAAAGCTACACTCTTACTAATTATTAACAGTTTTTGTTACACTTGTCTTTCTGTGTTCTGTTCTGCAGCAGATGAACTGTTAAAATCTTTACTCACTACTTGAAGTAGGATACTTTTTCCATCATGAATTGCATGGAATAATAAGTGAACCTCAAGAATGCATTAAGAGTCTAATTCATAAGAAGAAATGGGCACAATGATACAATCTTTCCACGGATATTTAATGAATGAGTCAGACTGCATATTAGCTGTCAGATTCAGAAGGAAAAACTGAAGACTTATAGGGCTTCTCAGCTGCCTGCGGATAAGGCAGTAAGGGTGTACATAGTTGCACATGACAGGCCTGAGAATTTTTCATTTTTTGCCGTAGAAGGATTTCACATAAGTAAACAAATGGACTTTAATTTAGATAATTTTAAAACAACATCATATGCTTCAGCTGCATATCAGCTGCATGTATCTCAGCTCAGGAGTCTTTCTGGTAGGGGAGAGCCCTAGCTTGTCCCACAACACACATTAGGCATTATTCGGCTTCCTCTTTAAGAGAAGTTCTTAGTGACTACCAATCCTTCCAGTATGTGAGACAAGATTACATAAACTATAAGAACTATTTCAAATTAAAAATAACAGCCTCCTCTCTCAAACCATGTGCAATTACAATGCAACTTATTCTTTCTATATCAGCGCTTCTTTTAATGTGTTGTAAATGGGATGACAACTGTAACACTACATAAGCAAATGTACTTGCTTAGGAATAATGGAAAAACTGCCTGTTACTCACTTGAGGTAGCTGTCTCRCACACAAAAGTGAGGAGGTTATCTTGAATCTTTTCAAAGGCATCAAAGTCATCAACAATAAATACATGACGCTCACTGGGCTTGCTGGCAATCTTGGCCAGCTCATTGTAATCCACATCAGCCACACCAACCACAAAGACACTGAAACCTGTAAAAGTAACACTTTTAATGCAAAATGTAGTTAATACACATTATGATTTTCCAGGCCAATATTTCACGAAACTTCTCTGCCATTGATTTTTCAAGCTCCACCAAGTCTTGTACCTGACTTTCTTTATGAGCATATATTCTGGACATCCTTTCACCTTATCAATATTCATGAAGGATTAAAATGATTTTTGCACCTTTCTTTCAAAACTTTATCCTTCTTCCTACACTGACTGCTGTTGGCCTGACTCCAATATCCCTTTGATGTAAAATGCAAAATCTTCTCCATTCTACAGTATCTTAAATTCAAAATCTCTGTGCACAATACCTACAGTTATCTTTTAGCTCTTGCTACCTCCTGCTTTTGATGTTTCTCTCTTTCCCTCTCTAGTTCCTAGAATTAGTTTACCAATTTTTACTTTTGAAGTTAACAATGAGTTTAAACTAGCGGTCTAGGCTCCCTTTACAATCAGCACACAGAGATGGATTTAGAATGCAGCTAATCTTACCTCCCAAAGATCCTTAGCTCAAGATAGGAGAAGCTGTGTTCTGTAGATACCTATTGCTCTCTATGATGACCACAAAAGGACCCTAGATGATGAGCTCAAAGCAGATCTCTAGTAGTTAGATATTTGAAGTAAAATGAGAAGMATCTGGTCCCTAAAAATTAATCATATAGCAGCAGAAGTAAAGGCATAATCTGCTTCTTTGTCAGCACTATTTTCCTCATCAAATCTTTATAATAGCTTCTACTTGCCTTCTATATCAAGTTTTAGCTTCACATTATCTTCTAGCCTTTACAAAATTGTATCTCTGACTCCTTTCTTTCTTTCCTCTCTTCTAACTATTTCTTCATTTGGTAATTTTTATCCTCTTTGCCACACCACAAAACAAGGAATGAAAAAAACATCACTGCAGAATTCAACACTAAACAGTAAAATCTCCTACAAAAACCCAGCAACAGGAAACTGCACAGACTAGCTAAGTCAAAACTAAAGCAAGCATATGTTCGCAAGCAGCTGTCATAGCAGTAATTACGTAATAGATATCCACAAATGGAAAGATAACAAAGGTAAGATTGTCTAAATACAAATTTAGCCTGAAGAAAAATCAAATATATGCATATAAAATGTGGAAAAAATAGTTAGTCAGCAATACATCATAAAAGAAAATTAACAGCTGTTCTTGAAGTCTAACTGACTATGAATGAACAACAGACAGTGTTCCAGAAAAGGCAAAAGTCATTCTGGGGTGTATTAACAGACATATGTRAAAGATGGGACATAATTATTCCTCTCTATCTGATATTGATGAGGTTTTGGCTGAAATACTACATTTAGTGCCGTGTACTACATTTAAGAAGCAAAGAAACTGAAGCCAGTATAGAGGATAGCAAAAATGACAAGGGGTTTGAAAAACCTGATCAACAGAGAAACTTGAAGGAAATGGGATCGCTTAGTCTAGAAAAAGACAGGATGAAGATAGGAAATGATAAARGGCTTCAAATATGAAGACCTGTTACCAAGTGGATAGTGATCAATTGCTTTCCTGATTAACTTAGGACATGAAAGGAAGAAAGGAGTTTCATTAGCTTCAAGAAAAATGTAAGTGGGACGTGAAGAAAAGCTTTTCAACTGAGTAAGAGTAGTTAAGCACTGCAACACATTACCTAGGGAKATTGTACGGCTTTCTTTTCTGAAGAGCCTAGCCAAATTATAAATAATATAGATAGAGTTGATTAATTCAATCCAGAGAGACAACTTGTGGTCTAAGCCCTAGAAGTCTGTGATTTTTTAAGGGAGCACATCATCATCATCATAGTCAGGGATTTGAACTCCAGCTGGTTCACATACTAAAATGCAGAACTGCTGAGTGATGGCAGAGGAAGGACAGGTACTTAGTCACACATAATCCATTCAGGAAGTCTACAGAGAGAGTGTAAGGTTTCTCAGGTTGCAAGGCAATGAAGGAGTCAATTCAATAATAGATCCTTTAATTCAAGCTCCTCTAACTTAGACCAACTACAGCTTAAAACTCAAAAAGGAAAAAAAAAAAAAAAAAAAAAAGCCCAAGCCCAGTATCTCAAAAGCACCAGAAAGGAGTGCACTCGATAATGATCATGGGGTCCACACAGCAGGAGGAGAAGGAAGTGATGAAGTGATTGAAAGTCAGCTCTGCTAAATGGTATGCAAGAGGAATTCCTGGAAAGCCTTCARAAGCCGGATCCACTCCCAGAGAGACAGAGAAAGAAGCAAGTCTGGCCCAGGGAATCTAAATTCTTAAAATAGTTCTGAGCCATTCCAATCACACATCTCTGAGCGCTGAAGAAAGCATTCCTAAACACCTGAAATACCATTTTTAAACTGTATTGCTTAACACTTAATGAAATGAAACTGTGAAAGAGTTGAGTACTGTGAATTGCTTACCAGAATGCTGTATGACTGTTGCTGCTTTCCTCACCTCATCCTGTGATCGACCATCTGTGACAACAACAAGTACCTTGGGAACGCCTCGCCTCATGCCACTCTCCCAAGTCAAGACCTTTTCTTTGATAAATGTAAGGGCTTTGCCTGCAAAGCACACAATGAATAAGGAGTCAGTCATGTCGTCCACAGGAATATAAAGCCATTACTTTACCTTGAAATGTATGGTGGTCACAAAACTGAAACTCAACATAAAACCTAAACCTTCTGCCTTGCCATACGAGGATAATGAGGTAGTTTCCAAAAATAATTTATAGAAAAGAAATTATAGATGAGAGTTACCTGTCCGTGTATTTCCACCTCTGTACTGAATATTTTGAAGAGCTCCAAGGGCCTGGGCTTTATCATCAAATGTATTCAGTTTAAATTCAGATTTTGCCTCATCACTGTACTGCACAAATGAAACCTGAAACAGAAAGTATCAGTGTTCAATCTCATATTTCTGTTTTCTAGTGAAATTATTATTACGGAATATTAGTAATCATTAAATAAGTATTTTTTCACATATATATGTATATGTGCACATATACATATTTATATACATAGATATTCTCATAGCTGTGTACAAACAGTAGTTTTTTCATTCTTTTTCCTTAGTGGATAAATATGGTAAGAACTTAAATAGGTATGATTAATTGTATGCTATTATTACGATGAAATATATAGTACTTATTCTCTGCTTCAGAACAGGTGTACGGTGTCTACAATACTTTATCCATTTTTTTAAGAAATGAAAAAGGATGTCTGTGACAAAGCAGAGTATGAAGGGTCCCTTTTTCTTAAACATAAGTCTAAAGAGTTAAAGATGGGGAAGCAAAAATCTAAAGATATGCCTGGCAGATGAAAGGTTTCTAACCAAGGAAATTGTATCACACCTGCAGGTCATTGTAATGGCCCAGAAATACCTTTTAAGTAATTGTCTCAAGTCTCATGTTACTCACTTCATCTAGTGAAACAGAGAGATTTATGGGACCSTAGGCAGCACTTTCATTCAACTTCCAAATGCAGAAGAAAAAGGATGATGGTGGGAGGCTTACTGTAAGAAGCTTCCTAAAAATGTATTTTTAGGAAGCTTAAAAGGGCTCTGTCAGAGAGCTCTCTCAGGCCCATATATCCTGGAATTCTATTCCTCATCAGCTATTACTACTTATTTTTTAACAATGCATTAATTCATTCAGAGGACTAACTTTTCCCCATACTAACACAAGGCCCACTGTGAACCCATTTTGTCTCTTTAGTGTGATATGAACTGACCTCTGGAAATGCCTATCTCAAGGCTACCAGACAAGGCTAACGAGCCAGCTGAATTTCTTCTACACACAAGACTGTCTTATTGAATTAAGAGATTAAAACATAATCCCAACTCAGAATTTACTCTGTCCTTGAAACGGATTTCTGATATGACACAGATGAACACTAATTCATAATAATTAGGCAGCTTGCCATATCACCACCCCAGGTTCTCTGCCTATAAACTCCTTCAACTTCTGTCCTTCAGAAAGAAAACTTCTCAGGACATACTTAGTTATCTTTGTATTTACAGGGCACCCTATCTACTTCATATACACTAACACATGCACACATGCATACACATTGCATTTTAAGGCGATCTACCACAAAAAAAAAAAAAAAAAAAAAAAAAAAAGCAGTTCTAAAGAAAGGAAAAATCCGCTGTAATTCAGCTTCATCTATATTTTCTCTCTAAAATGCACTCAAGAGGAATAAAAAACCTACCTGTATTCCAGCAGGATTAATCAAATCAAAGGCGCCTACTGTATTAAATACAAATTTCACTACTTTGTTGAAGTTATCATCACCAATACTCCAGGAAGCATCAGTCAAGAACACTATGTCTGCTTTGGCACCTCTACATACTGAAAGACAAAGAAAAGGAACATATGCATACTACAGTGGAATAAAGAGAATTGTTTCGAAAACTGAAAATTCAGGAATATTTAGTAGACTTCTATTATCACATAATAAACCTGGCAGATGGCTTATACCCATTACAGATACACTTATTAATTTGTTTAAACTAAAATTTGACCAAGAAGCAAATAAAAATGATTCAAATGCTGTTTTTTTTTTTTTTTTCCTGAGCAATCAATATTAAATATGTCTTCTGCAGGCATAGGTCACAAATGTGTTTCCGAATCCATAAACACTATGATTTTTCCCCAGATGTATGCACCTTGCTATCTTAACCCATGAAAACTCTACAGCGAATGGATAAAATTAGGAGATTGGTCTCAAGCTTTATTACCTACAAGGTTGTGCCAGTTTTTCTATTTCAGCTTATTAAAAAGAAAAAAGAACTAAAACCTGAAACACTGCAGCAACTATGTAAAAATACTAAATAAATCTACAAACATACCATCTCGAGCTGGAGGGATTGTAGGAGGTGGAGGAGGTGTYGGCGGTGGTGTTGGTGCCTCTGTAGGTTTGAGAACTGAAAGAAAATATATTTTGATTCTATATAAATTCCTTCATTCAAGAAAGCTCTAGATTATATTACTGAAGAAAGAACCAAACCCTTTCTCACTAACCCATAAAATGTTCAATTAGCAAAGAAAAACTTCACAAAGGTGCACTATTTCATTGTGACAGAGGAACAACTTTACACAAGCTGAGGTACATCCTGCTCTTCCTAACCACTTCCTGGTTTTTCATCTAAATGAGAAGAAATCCTCGGGTTGAGGAAGTTCCTAAGAAGTTCTATCTTTCCCTCACAAACTCCGGTTGACATTACCATCAAGATTACTTGACAGCACTGAAAGGCATTTTGAAATAAGACAAGTTTTACAGCTCAAATAAGAAAAGTTCTGTAGCAAAAATGTAAGGTTCACAGTATTGGTTATGTACCTGTGCGTTCCCTCAAAGACACTGGAGGTCCCTCAAGGTTGGGGGTCTGAACAAAGACGGTAGCATTGTAATCGGTGTCTGGTGAGAGGCCAGTAAAACAATGGCTCGTTTCTGATCCGCGTACTGTGATTTCTTGTCCTCTAGATCCTGTTAAAATAAAGCCCAGTTAAAGAACATCAGAAGTCTGTACTTTCCTTAAAAGTCTCTCTGAACTAAGATTTTGCTGTGAGAACTCTGCAACTTGAAGCATCCTGGAGAGCAACAATTTTCCACTCAGACTGCTGGTAACTTCTGGTTATAGTCTTCCACCATACTAAATACAGTGTGCTGCCACTGAAATACATGTATGTTCCCAAAAAAAAAACAAAGACAAAAACTTACCATCAGCTGGATTTAGCTTCAGTCGATAGGAAGTTGCTGACCGGTGAGCCGACCATCTAATACAGAAAGTATCCCAACCTACTTTGTAACTTGTTAGATCTGTGACATTCAAATATACTGCAAGCAGAGAAAGAGACAAATTACTCTGTAGTAAATAGTATGTAAATGCATATTAAATGATAAGGTCAAAATGAAAATTAATTTAGCAGTGCTAGCAGTGATTTTTGGTTTTGTTAATATTTATAGGTGAAAAAAGCAATTCTAGTCAAATTATTTTCTCTTATGTCCTATATATGTCTAGCTATTTACAAACACCCAAATGCTGATACCCTTCTCACATTAGATAATATCCCATTTTATTAATTCAACAGCCCAGTTTATGATTTTTTTTTTTGCATTAAGTGGAATTCTTATAAAATAAGAGACATTGGAAAAACATAATCTGTCTCATTAGATTTACTACAGTAAAATAAAAAGAAAATTTATTGAAAAATTACAAGAGTCAACAGAAGTCAACACAAATGACTACAACAAAATTATTTTGACTTACATGTAGTGCCTTGATCTGTCAAAGGTATGCTCATTCCTGAATCATACTGGGCATAAACATTCACATCATATGTAGTACTGGGAGACAAGTTATGCAGGGTATAGGAAGTCACTTCTCCAACAAAAACCTCCATTGGATCATTTGAACCTTGATTGAAGAGAAATATTGCGGAAAKACAGAGGAAAAGGCTCATGATTAGATAACCTAGGAAATTATCAGTCCTCTTTTTTGCTAATCTTGCTTACTTTTATTAAAACAAAACAAAATCACTTCCTAAATAATATATAATTTCAGCATGTTAAGATGACTGAACAGAACACATATAGCTTCACAAGCTATTGTGCAATATCGTTTTTAATTCAATTTCTAGAAAGGGATATTTATCATATTTTCTCTTTAAAAAAAATATTAAAAGGTCCTTAATACCAAAGAAGCTGGTCAACACTCATCTCACATACACCAGTCCACTTTCTCAAAAAGGCAAGACATATTAATGAGTGAAAAATCAAGTCTGGACCAGATTAAATCTCAATTATATAATTTATTCTCTGTAATTGAATGCATGCAACACAGTATTTGATAGATTGCACTTCTAATGAAATAGTGATAATAAAAAGACTTACATTTGCATCAAGGCCAGTAAATAATGGAAATAAATAAATTATCACTAATGTTTCCACTATACATGTGATTTCTATTCTGAACTCCCAGAATAGACACTAGTCATTCACTATGCTGGAAGTTCTCTCTTTTCAATGAGTATGTTTTCTTACCAACTGGTTTGTATACAATCTTATAGCCCAGAACAGGGGATGGTGAAGGATCCCAGGAAACTCTGAATCGTGTATACCATTCATCAGATATATACATGTTCTGAGGAGGAAGCAGGCCAACTGAAAAAAGAAAACAAACAAATAAACAAATAAACAAACAAAAAATTAATTAGACTCGTAACTATTTTTCAATTGCTATAAGCCTACAGTGTAACTCTAGAGGGAAAGAAAGGTCAGAAACATCACTAGCATAATGAGACTTTAACAATGTTACAGCACCCAAGCAATCTTCATCTTAAATTTAAAAAGAATATAGAGTATTAAAACAAATTACCAGTTCTTCCATTTCCAGTTAGTTGTCCACCATCTCCATCTTCATATACTGCYACAACAGTAATTTTATATGGTGTATCTGACTGCAGCGGTTGTAGTATCACATTATTTCTTATACCAGGAACTGTTGTCTAGAACACATAAGAGAAAAAGAGGTTAATAATGTACACAGTATTGCAATGACCAGTAATGACAGCAACTTGTACTAAATATTTGTTCAAGACTTCACATTCTTTTTATTATTCCATCATCCAGATTTCAGTACTGTTCCCTCTGGAAAAGAGCGAAGTGGTGATGATGTGTTCAGAGACAGAAAAAAGGAAGAATAAGCTTCTGAAATGAGGTGGGAAGACAAAGCCATCCACACTGCTCATGGGTTGCATTTCTACTTCTTCATTATCCTCACATCAGGATATCACTTTCCTAACAGAAACATCAGAAACTCTGAGAAAAAAGCCCTAAATATTTTGATACCAAAGAAATGCCTATTTCTGCCTTCAACAGTCTTCTCATCTTCCTATTGCATCTACACACTATGCTCCCTTCTAACAGAAATTTAGATATAATCAAAAAAGTGAAGCTGCTCCATTAAAAGGCCATATAGCATTGAAACTGCAGAAGGTATCACAAAGCATGTCAAAACCATACCCTAACCAACATTATTTCATTATTAGTTGACAAAAAAAAAAAAAAAAAGAAAAAGTTATTTGAGACCTGCCATTATTATGAAGTGTCCAACATTTTCCATGAATAAGATGTGTGTGTCCAAAACACACCTTTCCACTGAAAAAACATCAATTTCACTACAGAATTTTCAACCAGTTAATATCCATCRTGTCCTACACAATGTTGTTTAAGCAATAACAGCATTTAGGTAGTGCTCTACATGTTGAATTTTGGCTGGTGAAAGTTAGCAGGAATTCTGCCATTGATCTGTATGGGATATGAGTTTGGCTTTGCTATAAACATTCAATGGATTTTATAAATATCAGATTAAACTGCAGGAAATTAAACACAAACACTTCACAGTGAACACTTCAAAAGCAAGCTAGATCTCGAAATGAAATAACCACTGCTTTCTTASCTAAGTCAACTTAGCCAACTCGCTTCAATTTATAAAATGCAGACATATTTATTCTGTATTTTAGCACAATGACTTCATATTGAATAGAATATGAAGTAATTGCTATATACCATGCAAAATGTTTTAACTAAGCATGAGAGGTAGGTTCTGCTCAAAACCTTCTGACTGATGAAGTGACGCACACTTATTTTACACACAGTTTAGTACATTAAAATGTTTATACACTGGAACATTGTGAAACGAACTGTTTTAGACAAATCATGGCTTCATTAGTGACTCTTAAACACTAATGACCAAACCTATAAAGTACCAATGTGTACTATATGTACTATAGGTATCCTTGTCTTTCCATAGCCTAAGCAATTGAATGAAAACATCTCTATGCTTATTAAGGAATTACAGAGCTTACGTATTCATCAATGGGATCTCCCACAGTGGGTGAATAAATGATTCTGTATTGCTGGACTGGTCCATCAGCATGGTCCCATTGTACAGAAAGGCTGTTTGTGGTCTCATCAAATACCCGCACATTCCTTGGCCCACTGCGAGGCACTAAAGAAAGAAAATACAGAAGCCTACATAAAACACAATTTTTCAGTCCAGTGTAACTCTCAYTGATTCTAGCACTGCCCAGGAGCAGAAGTTAAGAAACCCAGAATAAGCATATGCAGGCAGATTTAGTAGATAGTACAGCTGTACCTGAAGGTCTCAAACAGAAATAGGGCCTTAACTAGTACTGAAACAATATGGAAGGGAGAAATCATTGAAGGCACATGGAAAGTCAGGTTCTACATAAAGAATCTGTTACATTTGCCAACTGTAGATGTGCAGATATGTGGATATAACAGAGACAGCATTCAAGCAGCAAAAGAGGGGTGGCATATGAACATCATGGACAAGTTCTTAACATGCTATTTCTTGAATTAATATGGAATACAGCCAGCATACTCAGGTCTTGAAAGCCAAGTTACCACGAGAGGTTTTGAGTTTAGGTAGATCCAGAGAAACAAACATTTGGGGAAATGTACATATGCAATTGTACAGGCACAATGCATGAGGTACAATAATTTTATTTGTTGACAGCAAATTCTACCCATCTTAGTGGGCCATTTGTTTTCAGCAAGACAATTATATATTTAGCTGCCATTAAATTTTAAAGTGCTTTTTTTACACCCTCAAACATGCAAACTGAAATTAGACTTGTTTAACAGATGATAGTGAGTTCAATGATCACATATGCCACAKCTGCCAGACAACGTAACAACAGTTCCCTTCCAGAAAGGCCTAGGAACAGTTTCAACCATAATTTATTTGCACTGAATAGCTTACACTACTTGTCATTTCAACCAGCTTTATAAASACCAAATCTATATAGATTACACATAGGAAGTACTGTCTCTTACATGTTCTTCCCTGTGCTTCACTTGGATTTCCTTCTCCATCCGCGTACAGAGCTATGACATTTATTGAGTAAGCTGTGTCAGGCGTCAAGCGCTCCAGCATCACATCACGAGTGTTGGCTGGTACCACAATCTAAAGTGGAAAAAAAAAATAAAAGCATATTCATTT